ATGTTTCCACATCACAGATACATTGCTTATGCAGCCATCATTATAAAATGCACAGTCATAATATAACGAAGTCATAAACTAACATTCAGTGTGGGAAACTATGTAGTAACTTCCTAGTCAGGCATTATTTACTTCAAATTAACAAACACTTTTTGTAACAAATTCAAATGCAGATGCTTTAACCATTTAGCTTACCCCTTTTCTCTCCTTTTTTCTTTCAAAGTCACACAAAAAGATACAAATTGGATATAATAACAGATCAGGCTGTTTTCAAGCACCCTGCAGGACTACTATTTCCAAACAAGGAAACAATACATCCCATGCCATAAACCTCAAACCACATGACTTCTGAGAAAACAATGCACATTACCAGCCTGGATATATAACATCTGAAACTTCCTTGATATATATACCTCCCCATGGTCCATAGTCTAAGTCCTCATACCAATACAAAGTCCATAAAAAATATCCCAAATTCTTTACCATCATTCTGGAAATATCTAACAGCACCTGTATCAAATTCCTTAATACCTAATACTCGGCATAACATGACTTCATCTCACATCCTAAAAAAATGTGATCCTATGTATGAAATGCTCTGCTTGTCTAGTGCCGAATTCGACTTCCTGGTCAAACTGTGTAGTCATTTATAATAGCACCAAACGCTGCATGTCAGCCTGGAGAGATGATCACACACATACGGCATACAGTACATCGTGCCATATACATTATGGTACAACATTGTATCTGGGAGGCCCTCTGTGGCCAAATTTCCAAGGCAACAATCAATATATATCCAGACTTATTAGGCTCTCCACTAGAGTTAATGTTGTTGAACCTAAAGCCTTGGTGTACTGTGTTAGAGTACTGCAATGATGCTGTGTACTCTATGGACATATGTTATACTGACACATACAAACATAATGGTTACATGAAACACAGTATATGTGCGAAAATTCTCTCTCTCTCTTCTCTCTCTCTCTCTCTCTCTCTCTCTCTCTCTCTCTCTCTCTCTCTCTCACACACACACACACACACACACACACACACGCACACACACACACACACACACACACACACACTAACCACACACACACTAACACACTTAAAAGGCATGATAAAAACTTTCAAAAGCAGACCATTAAATGTGGATAAAAATACTCCCTAAGCAAATAAATAATTCTAAGAACCCTGGCTTTACGTGTTACCTTTGATGTGTGTACTTCACAACATGCACCCAGATCTAAACGAAACTAACAGAAGCTACTTACTTCTTGTGTATCTCTTCCTGCAAATAGCTTTAAACTCAGTATGTATAGTAAAGGTACCTGGCTATAATCAACACTCTCCCATCTATAAAATACATATCTTGATGCCATATACACCTCTGTTATCAAAATGTATTATATATCCTCTAAATAACTTTTATCTAGGCTGAGGCTTAACTTTAGGATAAATGCCAACTGATAAATGCTGTAGATAATTTACTTTGGCTTAACAAAATTTAAACTATTTATTATTATTATTTTTTTTAATTTTTAAATTTTAAAACTGGCCAATTAAAGTATCTAATGATTTACCTCATAACATATTTTCAACAGGACTAAACTAGATCAAAATGCTTAATATGCACCATTTTCTCAGTCTTACATCACTTACTTTCATTTTCCAATCACAGGTAAACCTACTTGCTACCTAGCAAATTTAAATAAAAATAGATATCACAATTCAATATAGACATCACACATGCTCTTTTAATAAGTCTATGCATAAGTTACCTCACAAACAACAGAAAACAACCTAAAACCTGAAACACCCTGAATTATCTACCTCTATTCCTAAAAGTATCTCCAATAGTTGTAGACTATATAGTCACTGTAGCGTATTTCAAGGTTTAAACAGAAGTGGTAACGCAGATACACCCAATCATTGAATCCTGTCTGTCCTGCTGTATTCTATGGGTCTGGAGGTCAATGGGCCCTCATATAGACAGCAGCCAGCCACTGCTGAGATAGCCTATCATCAGCACTGGATAATGAAAACAGATGGGACAGTAAACCTTAGAGCAAATTGAATAGCTCTCCATAGATTTGTTCAGACTGGGGAAAACTTGGACTGGAGAAGTGTCCAAACTTGCATCCTTAGATTGCCAGATTGCATTACCATGATTTTAAATGCCAGAGGGTCTCTCTTCATTCTGGATGCCCGAGAGTGAAAGCCCATCCAGTTTCTGTCTAAAAAAAGTTATTGTCTGAACACGTGGAAGTCTGCACTATAGAGTTGTACAGGTTGAGCAAGTACAGAGGCAGAAGTCCACTACCATTCTTAGACTGATCAAAATCAATAAAAGGAATAAATAAAAATAATTAACAAATTAAAAATATCCTAAATTGCACTATTTTAATGCTTTCACACGTTTAATACACTTCAGTTGTCTAAACCATGGGATAATATTGAAACTGTAATAGTTGACTTTATGAAACTAATCTGAACTAAGCCACAAATGTACAGTAGTTATCTTATCTTAGCTTTATTTAATGGTCCTCATGCTGTAATATCTATCACCATGTGAACGTTTTATATTGATTTTGACTCCATTGTGCAGGACTGTTGTTCAAGTTATATATGTCGAATAAAGACTTACTGAAAGTTTGTCCTCCTTTTTTGCCACATTTGCAGTGAACTTTCGAATTCCCATCTAATACCATGTCCCTGATGCTAAATTTTTTGGTATTTAGACAATGGGGATACATGTATTGCCATTTAAACAAGAATGAGATAGAGGGAGGCAACCAAACAAACTATTAAAGGTCATCTGAAGTATCTCTTTTAATTAAATATGGCTGTGTTATCTACTACAACTGAAAAGTAGATAATTAATAAACCCAAAACCCTTATAATGGTCCAAGTTATCAGAAAAAGTGGATCTGTTCTTATTACGTAATTAAGTATGAAATGGGATTAATAAGACAAAGGTTGCTACTTATCACATATATGTTGACAGGATTAAGGAGGTACTGCTGCCATCTGGCCGTTAATTGCGAAACTGACACTCATTGTGACATGTGCGTGTTTGAGTGTTTATATGCGATTGCTTTCTTCTCTCTCTCTCACTTTCTGCTTGTGTTTATGTGTGGGTATGATTATCTGCCTATGTACGAATGTGTGTGTGTGTGCGTGCGCGTGCAATTGCATGTATACACACGCTTTCCCAACTTTAAAGCCACTTCATCACTGAAACACAACTCCTTTCAATCTATCAGTAACAGATTTACAGTTTATCAAACATATCCCACATAATCTGATCACTTCTTACAGCTCACAAAGCATCAAGCCAGTCAGGAAGGTACCCTCACCTCTAAAAGTTCATAATGACATTATCTTATTATAAATACCATATCAACATTCCCTTCAACCTTTTTCCTTAAAGCTGATTTCATCACTACCCACTTAGTGAAGACCTTTCAGCTTTTAGCAGTTTGTCCAATAATTGTCTGATCCTTTCACAATGACTGCTAACATTTGGTTCAGAGATATGATACATAATAACAATACCTTGGGGTGTGTAATCTGTTTGCCTATTATCTTACAGTGTGCTTCATATAACTGTATCTTAATTCCTAAAGTGGATGCTGACCTTATGAAGCCCATACAATTTAAGTTTGCTATATATTGAATGGTCATTTTGGATACTATAAACCTTTACCTACCAGAATTATGTGAATGCCTGATCTAATAGAATTTTGTTGGCAAAACATTAGAAGATTAAGAAGATTAATTAGATAAACTTCAGATATGCTTGGCCATACCAAAAGTAATAAGAACAACTTTATCATAAATGCTGGCTTCTCCTCTTTCCATACTATCCACAGCTTAAAAAGAAAAACAGAGGACACAGAACCAAGGATGCTCAACATTCACTGTTATAACTGTCAGATAATATAGAGTGCCAAATGACACTATATCTGTCACTCCATCAGTCCCAGTGTCTGTATCTGTCTTATCAAAGTCAGCCAATTCAAGCAGATCTGCATCACTATTTGCTACACAGGTTCTGTACAAACATAAATCCATCTAGTGAAAAAAATCTGCAAGAAAAACACAGGTTCATAAAATCATATCTTTAGCTCTCAGGCCCCAAATCAGCATAACCAATCATCTCTCCTATATCTAATAAATTATATGCTGCAGATAGAAACAAATTTGGTTTTATCCAATTCTTAAAGCTTTCAATTCTTCTACAGGCCCTCTAGGAGCATTGTGATTCTCTGTTTCAAGATATGTACAAGAATATAATAGAACAAGCGGAATTCAGACAGAAACAGTCCAATACACAGCTATACAGGCCCTGCTGGGGCATATTTGTACGTCCATCATCTTCACATACAAAAGACTATGTAATTTAGCAGAGGATGAAATTTATGCTACACAGTTTCCTGCTTTTTGCCTTTTCATGCAGATCTTTTCAGATGAATCTCAGATACAGATCTGCATGTATTAGGTACGGAGCAGGAAATGTGTAGCCTAGCGTGGTGAATGAAGGCTTGGAGCGCCAACTGGTTGGATAATTACTATAGGAAAAACAATCAATGACCACTGAACATGGTGCAGTGTAGACCAAAATATCAAGACAAAAATGCAACACATTTATCTAAACAAACTGGAGACATATAGACTGGAGGGTTTGGGCTTGACAGGATGACTTAACGAAAAAATATAAAAATTTACCATTATATCAGAAATATTCTCTAATTAAGTTAACTAAGTATACATCTGAAAGACTCTAAATATGTGCCCAAGAACAGAAAAGTCACCTTTTAATGTGCCTCACACAAAAAACTCCTAATATATTATTCCAGCTTACTAATTTACATGTCTAGCCAACAAATGGATTAAAAAAAGACAATTCACCAGACCAGACAGGTCAGGTGGAGAAAAAAAGTAAATTTCTTACATTGTCAAAATCACCAAGCAATTTCCTTTTTACCTTTAAAAAACTGCACTCAGATTCACCTCTCTCTCCCAGTGCCAGGCCCATTCATACACCTCCTGTCTGACTTTGTTTACTCCTTCCCTCTTTCTTTTCGTAAACTCTTCTGCACTAAACTGTTTCCAGAGCAGTTCTAAAGTAACCAGCAGAGGAGACTGTTGGAATCTTTACTTCAAACAAACTCCCATCTCCATTCATGTTCCCTCGCAGGGACCGAGTCAAAACAGCAAATGTAATCTTGGGAGGTTAAAGGGTGCACATCATAGCAGAAATGTCTACACCAGATATAAATTAATACGCTGAATGAAGAGGGGAAAAGTCATCACTTAAAGCAGCTTACAGATGTCAAATATATTTCGCAGACTGATTTTTTTCAAATCTATCTGAGATAACATATTTCAAGAAGTCAGATAATAAACCGAGAATGGTGAAAGGGTGCAACTGATACCATAAATTTTTGGTCTACATTTAGATCCTGCCACTTCAAACAAACCATCTTCTTTCAAGTCTATAAAACTAATGTTGAATTGTCAAATAATATTCAAACAGATGAATAAATGAATGAATGAAAAAAAGAAGAATGGAAAGAAGGAAGGCATAAAGGAATGAAGGATAGCAGGAAGGACAGATTATACAAAAATCTCTCTCCAAATTGCTGCCTAAAACAAATACCAATTGGGAATGGGCAAAAGTTCAATTCAGTGACGAGTCTATGAAATATGACATTAAAACACTTCTACCATATCTTCTAACTTTTTGTTATAATCAAAGCAAACCTGATAACACCATATACTGAATTATTCATCAAATCTTCTCCAATGTACACTCTTGACATGCTCCCTAACCATTACATTGAACCAGAGAAACAAACTGATAACCAAGGTCTCAGTGGGTCTGGCATTCCTGGTGCAGGCTTCATTGAGAGAATACTTTTTGCAATGATAAATGATAGATAGGTTACTCCAGGAGGTTTAGAAGTCTTACATGTTGATATAAGGTATAGAATATCAGAAAACCGATATTAAGTTCTTTCAGTTGGGTTATATACGACTATACAGATGGCTAGAAACAAGCATACATGATTCTCTTGTTGTTTTAACTTATCTGATAAAGAGGTGATAAAGATGGTGGAAAGGGGTAGACATATATTGCATTATTAATTTGCTGTATCACAGAGTTAATGTTTAATGAGAGTGCCCCTCCAAAAAGGAAGTTATACTTATTGATTTGGTTTGCAGTAAATATTCCCACTGTACTGATTCATGTGATGATTTCTAGTGCTACATGCACTCAATCTTAAGTGCAAATATTTCCTGCCATCTGATATGGTACTTTTACATTAAGAAAGGTATATCTGTTACAAACCCCTCCTTTTATTAGTTTGTTCAATTCCCCATATGAATAATTTATTCCCCTATCTACCCTGGTAAAAAGTCAAACATTTGCCATTCTGCCAAACATTTGTATAATCTTTGTAACAGAAAAGAAAATCAAATCAATTCAAAGCAACTCACCAAAATCCAACAGAACTTCACTTTTTTCAGATTTTTCTTCTTGTCTCTCTTTGGCTGTCAACAGTCCCTGAAATCACAAGATGTCAATGTGTAATGAGTGTTACCCTATAGATTTTCCTACTTAGTTCAAAGTAAATACCCACAAAGACAGCACTACCCCTTCACACTAGACACAATCCAGTCTGTCTGGACTTGTTAAAACTTCAATATACTACATAATCACGTAATCACATTCACAAATCTCACTCCAAGATCTGCACTAAACCAGGTCAAAATGGATAGTGAGGGTATTTCAGATTGTAATTAAGCTGGTGGCTACATAGCATTCTTCCAAACAACAAATTGAAACAAGAAATTTAAACTGTGTTGGCACTGGATTACAAGTCAAAACTATTTATCATTTAGACCAACTTGATTCGGTCTGTATCAATGTCTTAAGTGAACACGGTCCAGATCTGCCCTTGTTAAACTTCAACACTCACTGTTGTCTACCATAATCCTGTTAAATGTTTACTGCTACCCATTCTTGTTGCAACCCATAAAACACTGTAATCTCTTTAGAACGCTTGTACCTTATTACTGAAAATATTCTAGATAGAAACTAGTTATGCAACTAACACTCTATAAAGGAAATGAATGTGGAAGCCAAGGAATGGGTTGAGGAAGCCTGAAAAATGTTTGAAATAAGAAATTATGTAAGATGAAAATTAAGACCTAGTCCAATATTTTACTGTGTTGTGATTATCAAGTGTTTATGAGGCATACATTGTTATCAGTTCTCCACTTGAGTCTTATCACAGTGTGCTAATGGCTAACTGTAAGGGACAATACAGGATATGGTTTACACTGCGTATATCATTAACTAGATTATGCTGAGGAACTTTGAAGGCACATACCAATATATAACTCCATGTTCTCTCTTTCTCTCATTCTGAATATCAGTGTATTTCACAAGTTTGTTGGCCATTGATCTATGATAGCCTCAGTTCACTTCAATTATAATGTGAGATATATATTTATGTAGTAGACAGGAATATTCCTCTCTCATTAAAATCCATACCCAATCTGTGCAACAGTCAATAAACACCAGAACAAACCACTGTTACATGTTGAAAACTTCCCTATTTTAAATACCATTTACTTGTAATCACTGCAATCAAACCTTTCAGCAATTATCTACCAAACTACATCATCATCATCATCATTAAAGGAAGTACGCCTACAGAACTCTTAACTCCTAGATCTAAGTCGTATTTTCCTCCATCGTTTTTGTGCACATATCTCCACGGTAACACAAGTCTGTAGTGACGTGAAGAGTTGTAATGCTGTAAAGACAGATAACAGGCTGACAATACAGCTTACCCTTCACAACTGTCAGACAGCAAGCACTTGTAGTAAATCAACACCAACTTTTGTTTGGGTCAGTTCAATCAGCACTGTGATATACACCACAAGTAGGTGTTGATTAATGACTTTTTTCTTTTTGCTTTTCTTTTTTGTTCTGAAACAATTCAGAAGTAAAACTCCACTTTTAACTGTCAATTTGTCATCTGTTTCCGGGTTCATATATCTTTCAATTATGTACAAGTACCATCTAAATCTTTGCTAAGCATGATTCTTTAATTCTTGTATTTTATAGCCCCTCCCAATGTAAACAACCATAACACAGAAGAGGCTGATAATCAACAAATAAAAACTGTACCTCGCCAACTAAACAAGCCACTTAATTATCATCTTCAGACATTTTCTCAACATACGTCTTAACAAACAAACCACATCACCAACAGAGGAATATCTTCACTGTGTATATCACCATTTAATTTCATACACGGCACGGAAATTAAGACAAATTTCAGTGGACGTCAAACTTATCTTCACTTTCCCAGCATATCTGGTCGTGTATCGGTGTTATTTTTACCTTCATGGCCCCTGATAACTGGCAAGATAACTGTACTGCTACAGGAACAAAGGGAGGACCAAAATCAGTACAAACACCTACAGTATCCACCCAACTGGCTACAACTACTGTTGTTGTGATACAGGAGCAATAATTGTAATTTGATTGTTGATGGGAATACCTAAATATTATATGTATCTTCACATTCACATCACGTGTTATCTACATTGCTGTGCTAAAATAGATCTGAAAAAAAAAAAACTTTTTTTTTTCACAACAACCACATCGATTACTAGGCCCACGTTGCTAGCCACCATTCACTTCCAACAATTATACAATGCTCCAGAAATTTTTGTTCTCTGTTCCTCACATTACCGAATATCTGAATTAATGTGATGATTTTTACAGACAAGAACATCATCAACTTCAAACAACTCATCGTCTATTGTACTGCGATGTACACAAGCTGCTTTGATTAGCAAATGAACATCAACATTCACTTAACATACCGACCTTATAACTGGTTATATAAATGGTACAGTCAAGGTAATTCAAAGGCTTTGTAATCTTTTTTGATTGCTAATGACGAGACAGACCACCAAGAGAATTGGAAATGTATCAGTTATATCGATTCTCATAATACTGCTTTCAAGCTAAAAATCATCACAGCTATGAAGTTTCAAACTCATGTACAGCCATTACAGTTTTCAACAAAGCATATTATACATTTTTTAACAAAAAACATTTTTCCTATCATCTTTCCTTCATAATGAAACTCAAAGCCAGCTAAAACTTCTGTCATGATTGTGTAACTTTGACATAAAAATGCTTTATGTCGTAGACTCAGTTCTATTGTTATCTTTGGCCTGGAAATATCAATAGCTCAAGATCAGTAACAAATCTCAAACTTTTACAAACAACAATATTTTACCTTCTAGAAAGCAGGCACAGTGTTGTAGCAAAGTAAAGCATCTACTATAAAATTGGTGTAGTACAATAAGTAACACAACCAGCACACACATAGAAACTCCTCTCTTCCTCGATCAAATCCTGTAGCAGCCAGAAGTTGACAAGAATACAACACGGGACAGGGACGCCACTGGATGAGTGATATTGTGAGTGTCACCCTGTCGCCACGCCAGGCTACAGCTCAGTGGCTTCACCTCAATTATGCCATGCATACCAAGCAGCCAGCACAGGTTAGCACGGGGCAGGTGACAGCCGAGCTTTAACGGGGAGATGGGGGCGTGAGATAGGACAGAGGTGACCCATCTTCTTTTAACTTATTATATCCTGGGTGTAGATTAGAATATGACACTCCTTTTAACTGACACTGATGGGAAGCTTGCTTTTTCTTTTCTTTTTTTACTCCTTTGAAGTTTTTTTTTTTTTCTCTAGTATGTCTCATACAAGGGAAAATTTGTCTCTAACAAGAGAAAATGATCAAAAGGGGGAAGAACTGAGGTTTTATGAAACAATACTCCCCTTCAAACTGTATTTATAATAAGAAAAAAAAAACAAATGTAAAAAAAATTATCAGATGTTGGAGTCAGAGAGAAAACCACATTAGACATATTTTAAGTAAAATATGTCTTAAAATAGATCAAACTATGCTGTACTTTTTATTTTTTGAAACTAAGGAATCAAACAAACTGGTAACACTTTCTGTTTTCATGAATACAAACCGTTATATCCACTCACCTTACTTCTTCAAACAACTTTCCTCTATCTGCCTACTTGCAAAAATCACCCACAACAAATATGTATAAAAAGAACAATTAACATTCTATAGACTCCACACTGCTACATCCTGGTTTAAAGACTAAAAGACAAACAATTCAACCTGCATGCATCACTACGTCCTGGTATCCTATTAGCTTCTAGTATTTCATTTCCTATCACATATCCCAGAGAGAGGATATTTTCACTAATTAGCATTATGTCATCATAACATGACAACTTCAAGTATATTACATGTGATGCCATTTCCTAAGCTCGTTACTCAATTTGGAACAAGGCAGCAAAGCTGTCAAATGTACAGACAAAAAGCAGACAATAACAATGCACAAAATAGGCTACTGTCAATTCTGATGCAAAAGTACATTATGCTCAACTGCAAATTCAACATCAAATTTTAATTATGCTCAACAGGTAATACTGACGTAAGTAAAATGTGTAACAAGCATAAGGCTTCAGGCCAATGGGAGTTCAAGTNACGACAGACGCAGGTGATGGCAATATGTACAGACACCTCTGTACATATTTACTGTACTGTTTGAGAACAGTAAGTGACATGGTTTTTCTTAAATGGTCATCATGGGAGCAGTGCCCAAAATAGGTTTTTTTCAAATTTTGATGCAATATTACATAATGTTTTACAGCATAATGACCATCAATTTTTAATCATAAAATATTAGTATCATGGATATTCAGAAAATGTGACTAGCAAAGGTCTTCAGGCCCATGGAACTTCAAAGCCACAACTTGAAAATGCCAAAATGTAAACAAGACAGCACTGTTCTGAAATGGGTTTATTTCCATTTTTAACAATTTTTAACATAAAACAAAATTAACAGTTTACCGCCATTTTTATATGATCAACTAAGAAAATTGATGAGATGGGGAAAATATCAATAGAATAGTGTTAAATGTCCAATTTCTTCCATTCTGAGATTCTGAACATAGTGAATGATTCAGTCTGACAAACTGCAATGATATGAGTTTATTTCCATTTTTGAAACTTTATTACACAATACACAATAACAAGTTTAACATCATTTTTACATAATCAACTAACAATGTTGTAAAGATGCAGGAAATGTCAAACAAACACTTTAATGTATCTTATTAGTAAAATAATGAGACTGTTAACATGCCTAAGAATTGAATGTGAGGAAATGTGAAAAAACAGCATAACTTCTAAAATAATGGCCCGATAATGCTGATTTTTGAACTCGACCTGCGTTTTAGTAAGATTGAACACTCCTGTGAGTTTAATGACAATTGGCCTATCTGTTTTTCTTATATTGTGTTTACAGTTTTGCCCATATGCTGAAAAAAGGAAAAAACAGCATAACTACTAAAATAGTGGCCCGATCATGCCGATTTTCGAACTTGACCTGCGTTTTAGTAAGATTGATTACTCTTTTGAGTTTCATGACAACAGGCCTA